TAAAAGGCATTTTGTTTCTTACCGGAAACAATTTTCAGGCCAGGGAGAAAAGGTTTAGACATCTAAATGGAAGGTGTGTTAGGAAATGGTTACGATATAGGGGGAAAAAACTGAAAAAACACAGCTCTTAGGCTATCTAATGAAGGAAAAGACGTCTTTTTTGTGCCAAAACCCCTTGCTCTAGGTCTACATCAGGCCTCTTCATACGTTTCCCATGCTGGACAGCTTGACTCAGGGGGACACTCCCCTCTTACGCCACAAATCCACTTCTTCTTTTCTCATTCAGGGCAGGAAGAGGGCAGAGCCAGGAGCAACATCTGGACGTGGTATCTGTCTCCGCCAAGTGAGGAACACCATGTGTAGCTGTTAATGCCAAATGCCGAACCTAACCACATGGATTATGTAAGAGGATACGCAAATCCCTTTAAACCAGTAACTTGTCAAAATGGATTTAGTGCAAAATAAATAGACAAATTTTATATGCAACAAGAATGATATGTCATTACTAAATCATAGAAATTTATGTAGATTTAAAAAGGGTTTGCTTCTATGACAAAAAGGTGTTTGTAATTCTGGTGGGAGCACATGGCACAATTTTAAACTCACTGAAAGAAAATTATTATTAGGATTTAATATTATTTAAGAATTTGATCAACAGCAAATGCGTAAAACTCTAATGTTTCAATAAATTTAACATCCCAAATTGAATTGCAAACTTGTAAGAGAGACCCATGATTACAGAAGTCGAGATTATTACCTCTACCAAAGAGCTGAGGTTAGGGTTGGTCGGTTAGTTAGTTGGGTTAGGGTATGGGTAAAACACTGGAGATTTTTTCAATAAATTTAATATCCCCAAACTAATTGCAAATTTATAAGAGAGAATCATGATTACAGAAGTCAAGATTATTACCTCTGCCAAAGATGTGGGGTAAGGGTTGATTGGTTGGTTTGAACTAGAGCCTTGGCCCATCTCAGGAATAATTACCTTTTAAAGTCGATCTTGATCTAGATTCTAGGTCAGGAGCTCTAGATCCAGAACTAGATCCAGGAAGGTTTGGAAAACTTTTATTACCTTGGCAAGGTAATGAAAAATTTTCCATCAAATCCTTAGAAATAAATATTAAATAAAAATAGTAACAAGAGCACAAAATTTAAATGGAATAGTATCACATTTTGCATATATTCATTTTGTTTTCTTCGTTCTTTTGAAACATGCTTAAAAAGTTTATAATGCAGTAAAAATACAGCATTTTGGGGTCAACTTGAAAGAAAAACAGATGTGAAATGCAAAAGTTAGAACTGTGAAATCTGTAATGTGATATTTAGAGTCACTTTTTGCAAGTATCGTGTCCCAAATTTTGCCAATACAAACAAATGCAATAGAACTTTAAGTGTGGTTTTAAAGACAAAAGTTTGACCTTATTTGACTTTAAAGAGGCAGTCATAGGTCCAAAGTAGTGTGATACTTAGAACCCCCATTATCATTTCCTGACATTCCCCGCTAACATTTTTTCTAAATATTGTTTGATGTGACATTTAAACTCTCAAAATGCTGAAACATTCTTAAAAAGACAGGATTTTAAACAAACAACTTGATGCAAGTTAAAAAATGTTATGTGGAAACATCTCATACAGTTGAAGGAACCATAATGTCAGTTACACAGGAAATTATGCAACTTCATTTCTATAAGCAGCAGTAGGAATCATAGAGACAGTCATGATGACTGTTATCAGCTATCTCACAGCCTTGCTTATGGCAGAGCTGGTGTTTGTCAAAAGCAAGGTGGCATTTGTCAGAAAGGTTTTGCTTTTTCTCCTTCTCAATGTGGGACTGCATTGCTGTGAGATGTTGTGTTTTAATGCACTGAATAAGAAAAATCTGCTAATGTTAAAAAGCAAATATACAGCTTGTTGTGTAGTGTTGACGTGTGACAGCGACAAGACTGACACACCCACACATACAGTGCACAAAACATTTAGCAGGTTCAAGAAATGTACAAGAACAGAGCATAAATGTGGTTATGAGAGAGAAGCAAGCGTGTGCACAAAAGTAGTTGTGGTTTTGAATCCCGCCTCTCAGCTTTGGTTGCCAAGGTGACGTCAGCATTGGAGCTATAAATATCAACCATATGAGTTTGTTGAAGAATGTGAGGAAAGTATGGAATACATACAGAACACACAAACACAGACACACACACACAAAGACACTAATACAGTCGGGGTGGGCAATTTAACATAACGAAATACAGTGTTCACATGTTTTTATTTTCTTAGCTAACGTAACATAAAAACCATTTGTAAACTATTTATTCACTGATTGAATAAAAGCTGTAACACCTCTCTTATTATCACAGGATTTTCTGTAGTGTTAACAATCACAAGATCGTGATTGTTGTTGCTAGTAACATTGTCTCAGTGTGACCCCTCTGACCAAAGTTCTTCACAAATGATGGTGTCAGGAAGTGACTGATGTGCAACTATCTTGATTTCAGTTTTGATCAGATAGCCGCCCATCAATGACTTCAGCAGCATGCATGCTGGGAAATATATGAAGAGTAAAAAAAATAAATTAAAAAAAACATCCACCGGAT